ATTTACTTTTGAATCAAAATTTCCATTTAAAAATGAGTCCAAGAGAGTCTGTTGAATCATGTCTTCAATCCCAACAGCACAACTACTGATATACAGTCATTAATATTTCAATAATTACAATTATTATTAACTGAACCAGTATTAATTACAACTACCACCCAATAATTCATTTTAAAAAGTAATTAACCGGCTATTTATTTTTCATTTCTATCAATCATCACTTGTTAATTAAATTTATAGAGGTAATAATAAAATAATAAAATTAGTAAAGATAGTAAATAGTTTTGGGGAAACCGACACGTGACGGGAGGTGTGTGTTAGAGGAACATACGAAGGCACCGACACGCGACAGTTGCTACCAGCGCACGTTGTTGATCTCCAAACTCTCCATTTCTTCAAACTCTGAACTTTTTTTTTTCCTTTTCATCTCAATCCGCCACAGATATCTTCCAATATGCATTCCTCAATCCTCTGATTTCATCCACATTCACATTCCTTATCCTCCGTAGGGTTTCGATGAGCTGCCGGAGTTCCATCGGAATCGGATTCGGAGTCCAATGAGACGGCGCCCCGTGGCGGCCATTCTCCCTGACGAGATGGAGAAACCCTCCGCCAGGAACCCTAATTCCCGCATCTGCTTCCTGGCAACACTCTCCGCATTCTTCTGGTTCCTCCTCCTCTACTTCCACTTCGCCGTTCTCGGAAACCAATCCCCCAAACTAACCCCTATCACCGTCACCTTTCAGCAACCTCGCAAAAGCCTCGGCTCCCAAACCCTAATCGAAGCCCCTCCGCCACCCTCCTTTCCCTTCGCACGTGCCCTCCAGACCGCCCTCAACAAGTCCGACAGGTGTGGAGGCCGCTACATCTACGTCCACGACCTCCCCTCCCGCTTCAACGAGGACATGTTGAAGAAGTGCAGAACGCTTTCCCTTTGGACCAACATGTGCAAGTTCACCACCAACGCCGGCCTCGGCCCCCCCTTGGAAAACGTTAAGGGCGTCTTCTCCGACACCGGCTGGTACGCTACCAATCAGTTCGTCGTTGACGTCATCTTCAGCAACCGGATGAAACAGTACGACTGCCTCACCCAGGACCCTTCCCTTGCCGCTGCATTTTTCGTCCCCTTCTACGCCGGCTTCGACATCGCCCGCTAACTCTGGGGCTATAACATATCCGTAAGAGACTCTGCGTCGCTTGATCTCGTTGATTGGCTTGTGAGGAGGCCCGAGTGGAAGATCATGAACGGGAGGGACCATTTTCTCGTGGCGGGGAGGATCACGTGGGATTTTAGAAGACTCAGTGAGGACGAATCGGATTGGGGGAACAAGCTTTTGTTTCTACCTGCGGCGCGGAACATGTCCATGCTTGTGGTGGAGTCGAGTCCCTGGAATGCGAATGATTTTGGGATTCCTTATCCCACCTATTTTCACCCTGCTAAGGATGATGATGTCTTCATCTGGCAGGAGAGGATGCGGAGGTTGGAGAGGAAGTGGTTGTTTTCTTTCGCCGGGGCTCCGCGTCCGGATAACCCGAAATCGATTCGGGGGCAGATTATTGATCAGTGTAAGAGATCCAAGGTGGGTAAGTTGTTGGAGTGTGATTTTGGTGAGAGTAAGTGTCATTCCCCGAGCAGCATAATGCAGATGTTTCAAGGGTCACTTTTCTGCCTTCAGCCTCAAGGGGATTCCTATACCCGACGATCTGCTTTTGATTCAATGCTAGCTGGGTGTATACCTGTGTTTTTTCATCCGGGTTCGGCTTACACTCAATACACTTGGCACCTTCCCAAGAATTATAGTAAGTACTCGGTGTTCATTCCGGAGGACGATATTCGGAAGAG